TAAAATTTCTTAAGTTAAACTTACATTTACAATAAAAATCCTTTGGAACATTAAAGAAAACACAGGTAAGATCATTTTAGCGTTTAAGTGATTGAATTTTAGTTAGTCGCGCGAAAGTTATTCAATTATTATTTAATAATTTTTTTAGTTGTAAAATTATAAAAAAATGTTCTGAAAGAGATTTATTCCTCTCATTTTCCTTGACATTTTAAAAAAAAGTAGACCTCAATCCGTTTATTAGAACGGAAGATATAGCAGTTTTAAATTTTTTGTTATTATTGCAAATCTCGTAAACTAACAAATATTTTAGGCTGAAATTTACGTTAAAGATTAGTCTTACTATATATAACAAAATTCCAAAGTTTCATTGCAATCGGTTAACCTACTCCGAAAAAGTCAAAATCTCACTTGGAATCGCACATTACTAAATTGATAAAAAGATTTACTTGTAAAAGATGTTACAAGTTTTTAAACAAAATTGGAACCTTATGAGTATTAATTTCAATGTTACTAAGAGTTTAAGTAGATCTATTTTTATGTTAAAAATGTGATAAATATTTTTAATGATTGAAATTAAAAATTTCATAAATACGACATTTTATTACAGGAAAAGAAAAACTTATTTGTAATAAAATAACATATTCAGAAATGCGAAATGTTTATTGTAGAAACACTAACAAAAGAAGCGAACAACCGCAAAAAAAGTGAGGTTATGTATAGCATAATATTAATATTATTTTGCTATATTTATGATTTATTATAACTTCCCTTCTATATTAATAATTTTGATATTTATTGATATTAGTCCTTAAAATAAAATATAATATTTTTAAGTGTTTATTTATTCGAATTATTATTTAATAGAATTTCTATATTTCAGAACTGTTGCTTAAACGAATTTTCATTTTACAGACTTTTTACTTCATCGAATTTTCATCAGACAGAATAGTTATTTAAAATAATTTTTATTCTACCGAATGAATACATATTAGAAAAAATTCTTTTCTTGCTGAATTTACAAATTTATTTGAATTTACATTTTGCAGAATTCTCAAAATTCCCGAATTTTTATTTTACAGAACTTTTTGACAGAAAAATTTCCGCCCCAATTCTTTTGTCAGATATATTTATTTGGACAAATGAATGTTCTATAAAATAAAAATTCAACATTTGAAGAATTTTGTAAAATTGTAAATTCCAATAAATTGAAAATTTAGCTAGAAAGGAATTCTTTATATTATTCTTTCTATAAAATAAAAATTCTTTTAAATGACTATTTTGTATAATAAAAATTTGAGAAAATAATAATTTAGGCAAATTTAGTTTATATAATAATTTGCAAACATTTTATTATTTTATTCGGCTAAAAGTAAATATTGTGTCAATTGAAAATTCGAAGAAATCAATTTGGCCAATTTTACGGGAATCATGCCTTTGTACACCTGTGTTACTGACCCTGGAAACCCTCCGAGAGACAATTTTTAACAAAACCTATTAATTTATTCAAACGCAAACTTCAAATAAGGATATCTCATACAAAAATAAATATTTTTAAAAGTTCTAAATTACAAATTGTTCATGAAGATATGAGCTTTCAAATGCATATCACGAAAACTTCAAAACAAATTTTTTTACCGTTATAAAAAATCAAAAAGTACCCTAAAAAGGGAATTTTTTCAATTTTCAAGATCAAATTTCTTGAAAACCTAGAGTGATGGAGTAATTCTGAGTTCGGATTCGTGTTCAGCGTCAAAAAACCTGTAAGAATCATCATATCCCAAGTGCGAAAACCAAAACGGCCCAATATTGGCTCAGTATTGGCAAAACAGGGAACGAGCCTTGGTAGACAATATTGGGCCTACTCTTATGGTGTTAACTGCGGTTGGACGTCGGCAGTCAAGTATCAGACGCCATTACTGGGCCAATCTTGGCTGCCATTAGTGGCCCAGTATTGACAAAGTTTAAAAAATTATAATTAATTATACATTTATCATTCAAGTCCTGATTGTTTAAACATTTGAAAATTTGTAACGCTCGCGGGAACCGAACTCGCAACCTAACGCACCGAAATCTAACACGCTAACCACTACGCTATACGCGGATATGGGAATCTCAACACAAAAATGTTTTGATAAGGTGCATTTGAGGAACATTTCAGCCGCTAATGCGCCATTACTGGGCCAAGATTCGTTACAACTTTGGAAAAAATGACTTGTCAAAATAAATTCAACATTTCTGCCGACAGTGGGCCAATAATGACCCTGTAATGGGACAGAGTTCATCTCAATTATGGAAAAGTAGAATTACCAAGTATTGGTGACAATATTGGCCCAGTAATGGGACAGAGTTCGTCTCAATTATAGAAAATTAGAATTACCAAGTATTGGTGCCAATATTGGCCCAGTAATGTGACGGAGTTCGGTCCAATTATGGCAAAGTGGAGTAACCGAGAATCGGTGCCAATATCACAGTTTTCCTAAAAGTATCAAATTGAGACCAAAAATTGCATGAAATCTTTGCAACGTTTTGATGCACATAAGTTATATCAAAAAGAGATCGTTTTTTGTATCATTTTTAGAAATGATACACGAAACGGTCTCATTTTTTGATGCATAAAATTTAATCAATTTATATCAATCATGGCCGAATTGAATCGACTCAAAATTAAACGAATTTTTTTCAGATCTTTTGGTAATAGTACAATTGCGGAGACCATTTCACTATTTAATTTGAAAATGAAAATAACAGAAAATCAAAGACAATGTGCAATGCGATAATTAAAAAGTGACAGCTTATAAACATAACCTAAAATGCATGAGAAAAAATTTGTCGATAAAATCAATATAGCCGAGCTTTTTAGAAGGTAGATGGCAGTTTTGCTTTTTATAAAAACGATTCAGAAAAAATTTAAAGAAAGAAAATAGATGAGTGCTGACATCTACCTTCTAAAAATATCGGCTATATTGATTTTATCGACATATTTTTTCTCATGCATTTTAGGTTATGTTTATAAGCTGTCACTTTTTAATTATCGAATTGCACATTGTCTTTGATTTTCTGTTATTTTCATTTTCAAATTAAATAGTGAAATGGTCTCCGCAATTGTACTATTACCAAAATATCTGAAAAAAATTCCTTTAATTTTGAGTCGATTCAATTCGGCCATGATTGATATAAATTGATTAAATTTTTTGCATCAAAAAATGAGACCGTTTCGTGTATCATTTCTAAAAATGATACACAAAACGATCTCTTTTTGATATAACTTATGTGCATCAAAACGTTGCAATAGAAAAACATACAACCAAGTTTACTGTGTATTGGCCCAAAAATGGGACGAATTGATCGCCAGTACTGGTCCAGTAACGTTTGCCGTACTTCGGCAGACATTACTGGGCGAATGTTGGGCCGTATTGGCAGTCTTGGCATTTCATCCCAGAAATAAAAAAAAAATGAAATTCTGTTGCACAATGTTAGAATTCGATTAAATTGTAAAATTCTATAAAAAATTGGATAAAGAAAAATTCTGTATAGTGAAAATTCTAATTAATGAATTTTAGAACTTATTCATGTATATAGACGTTCGAATATGGCCTATAAAGATAATTTAAAATTAATATGAATTTTGAAAATAATTTATTAAGAATAGCTGACCATTTTTTTTTTGTTTTTTTTTTGAGACTAATACTGTTATCGCGCGTATGAAGGTCGTTTGGGTTTTTTTTCTGGTTATGGAGGTGGTGATAATCGACCCTTTATTTTATATTGTACTCCTTTGGCCTACATGTATACACACACACATCCCTGAAATTTTCTCTTCAAACTAAGGGATACAGTCACGCAATGGTCAGCCCGAACACTTTCTCAAACTACATATATATATTTAATATGTGGAAATATCATCGCATGGACTATGGGCTAGAAATTGCAAATATCGACCTGTTTAAATGCAACTTGTGCACCACCTGCAAATAGTAACTAGTTTAGTCGACGACGCATATAAGAATACACTGGGAGATTCTATTTAACTTATACTATTTTTCCTTATATTTTTTGTGATTTTAAAATATATATAAAATCGCGAAAATCGTTTTATTTCTCGCACGTTTAAACAGTGTGTAATTGATTTTTTTACCCTTTTATATATACTGTACGACGTATTTTATTATATACGCTTTATATTTTTTATTGTTTTAGAATTTACTTTTTTAAATTCCATTGAAAATTTTTTAATTCCAATTAAAAAATTGTGAATGATTTTAATTTTCATTTCGTATTGAATAGTTTTTTTAAAAATTGAATTGTAACTTTTGAAATTTTCAAAAAGAACAATTAATTTTTTATTTATTTTATCGCCCATTTAGAAAAAAATGGGTATGAGTTAAAAAAATGAACAGAAAATTATTTATAAATGACGATTATTAAAAAAAATAGAAGTTAATAACAAGTTATTATTAATAAGTTGTTAACAAAAAGTATACTGTGATCATTGGCTTTTTTTTTGAATGACGTAAAAATATGATTACTATTGTTATTATTTTTTTTTCAATTTAATTTTTCTTCTATTATCTAATTTTTATCTTCCACTCTAAAAGGATCAAAAAAGTGATTACAAAAAGAAAAATTGTATTGTCGGATTATATAGAAGGCGAGGGCGGGGAAATAAAGTTTCTTATTATAAATTTCTATTGTTTCCTCATAGAGAAAGTTCTAGTGAAATTTTTAGACCTTGATTTGTTTTCATCTTTTTCTAAAAAAAAACAATATAAACGTTTTTGATATTTTTTTTTTTTTGTTTTAATCGTACTGAACATGAGAACGCGATATCATCATCATGCTTTATGAAACATTGATTAATTATAATTAATTTGCATTTTTTCATCAAATTTTTTTTTTTTTAACTGTAGATATGAGGATTTTTACAGTTTTATGTACTTTTATTTATTTGTATTTATTTGCAAGTTTAATAGAAAGTAAAAAGTTTTTTTTTTCATTTTCAGAAACAAGCCAAAGACATTCGCATTCGACCACTGCTTTTACTCGCTGGATCCGAGTTTAGAAAACTTTGCGAGTCAAGACGTTGTCTTCAATGCATTGGGTCGAGATATTTTGGACAATGCATTCCAAGGATACAACGCCTGTATCTTCGCTTATGGACAAACCGGTAAATTCATCATTTTTTTTTTTTTTTTTTTTTTTTGAAACGTATGATTATGTTCCAAAAATCATTAGTTAGAATTTTCATTTTATGGAATTTCATTTGTCAACATTATTTTTGAACCGAATTTTTATTTGTTCGTATTAGTATTTTGCAGAATTTTCATTAAACCGATTTTCTATGTTACAGAATTTTCATATAATCGAAAATTCACTTCACAGAATTTTTATTTGGTCGAATTTTCATTTAACCTAATAGGCATTTTAAATAGTTTTTAACGAAGCTGAAGTACGCAACGTTTATATAAACGATTTTTAAAGAAATAATTTTTTAAAATAAAAATTTCTATAATTTTTTGCCTAAAAAATATTTCTTGTAGTTTTCATTAATCAACAAATTATGAAAAAAAATTTTTTAGTCAAAAAATTATAGAATTTTTCATTTTAAAAAATTATTTCTTTAAAAATCGTTTATATAAACGTTGCGTACTTCAGCTTCGTTAGTTTTTATTGGTTAGAATTTCATTGCATAGAATTTTCATTTTATTCTTTCAGATGAATTTTCATTTGTTCGAATTATATTTGGTATAATTTCCATAAAACCGATTTTTCATACTACAAAATTTTTACTTAACCGAAAAATCATTTAACAGAATTTCTAATTGATAGGAATTTTCATTTGTCCGAAATTGGAAATGGCCGAACAAACAATCGACAGAAAGATTTCGGCGCGATTTTTAAAATCAACCAATCAGAATTTTATGGATAATTTTTGATTGGTTGATTTTAAAAATCGCGCCGAAATCTTTCTGTCGATTTTTTGTTCGGACATTTCCAATTTCGGACAAATGAAAATTCCTATCAATTAGAAATTTTGTTAAATGATTTTTCGGTTAAGTAAAAATTTTGTAGTGTATAAAAAATCGGTTTTATGGAAATTATACCAAATATAATTCGAACAAATGAAAATTCATCTGAAAGAATAAAATGAAAATTCTATGCAATGAAATTCTAATCAATAAAAATTTTTTAAAATGCCTATTATGTTAAATGAAAATTCAAGCAAATACAAATTCTGACAAATAAAAATTCGAACAAATAAAAATTCTGTGAAGTGAATTTTCGATTATATAAAAATTGTGTAATATAGAAAATCGTTTTGATGAAAATTCTGCAAAATACTAATTCGAACAAATGAAAATTCGGCTTAAAAATAATTATGACAAATGAAATTCCATAAAATGAAAATTCTAACTAATGATTTTTGGAACATAATCATGCGTCCCAAAAAAATGATAATTTTATGATTTTCAATTACTTTTTTTAATTAAATTAAAGAAATAAATTAATTTTCCTTTCTTTCTTATAATAAAAATTTTTAGAAACATTTTATTAAATATAATAGCAATAAAATAAAAAAAAATATGATTTTGAATTTGATTTATAATTTTGAAAAAATTGACATAGGTTCGGGAAAATCTTATACGATGATGGGAAGCGGTGACAACAAAGGCATAATTCCCAGGTTATGTGACAATCTTTTCGATATGATTGCCAAACAACAGAGCTCTGAATTAACGTACAAAGTTGAAGTCTCTTATATGGAAATCTATAATGAAAAGGTGCACGATTTGTTGGATCTAAAGCCAAATAAACAGTCCCTTAAAGTTAGAGAGCACAATGTTTTAGGTCCTTATGTAGATGGTCTTAGTCAACTTGCTGTGACCTCATTTCAGGTAATTATATGCCTTCTCATTTCCTTCAATAATTATAACGATAAAACAGCTCGTAATCGTAATATAAATATTCTTTTATCATTTTACTCTATCGATATGAGATAATTATCGAAGCGAGAATGTAATATTTTTCAATCAGCTTCCGTGTTAATAAGTTTATATAATATAATAATTATACAATAATTTTTATATTTCGACAGCTTTGATGATAAAAGAAATTTTTTTTTTTTTTGTTTTTTTTTTAGAATTGATATAACAATAATATTGAAATTATTTCAATTACCTAACCAATGGTTTGGAAAAATTTATCTTTATCTTCGCTAATTAATTAGATTTCTAAATAATAATTAGGTTATTCATTTTATAAACTGTTATAAAATAATTGAAATTTTAACCTAATGAAATTTTTATTATTATTAGGCAACAATTTTTTTCCTGATATTATTTAGGATCTAAAAATTAAAAGAAAAACATATTTGACCAGATTAGAAATTCTTTTTTTTGAAAAAATAAAAAAAATATTATAAATTGTGAAAGAAGTTCTAATTTCATTTTTTCCTAAATTTTAATTTTTATTACAAAATTTGTTAATTAATACATTTCTTTTTTAAATTTTCCTAACACGTAGCATCATTTTATATTCTTAATAATGTCGAAAACTAAATACGTACAAGAAGTTAGCAACGCCATTTTTTTTTTTTTTAATAGAATAATTTTTGTTATAATTTGTGCAAATTTTGTACTGTAGAAAATAATAATTAGGACTCGAATTTCAAAAAAAAAAAAATGTAAGCTCAAAAATTCCCCTTATATGGAATTAAAAATAAACAATTGTGCAAGACCAGAAGGAACAGAAATTTTTACAACAATTTTCAAAATCTTTAATAATAAATTATTTAAAATAATTCAAAAAACGATTTTTAACACACAAATATTTAAAAATTATTATTTTTTTTTTAAATAAATTTTATTAGATTTAAATTTAAAAAACTCTGGGTTAAAAATTTTAAATAATTTATTATTAAAGATTTTGAAACTCAAGCAGAACAAACAGAAATTCTTACAACAATTATTGTAAAAATTTATGTTTGTTCTGGTCTTGCACAATTATTATTTTTTCAAAAAAAAAAAAAAAAATTTTTACAGAACAAAATTTGCACGAATTGTCACAAAAATTATTTTTTTAAAAAAATGAAATGACGTTACAACGAAAATTTCTAGAGGTTAAAATTTCACTGGTACCTCCCCTTAAAAAAAAACAATTAATTTTAATTATTATGAACTTGGAAGCTGATTATATAGAGAAGCTGTTACAAATAATTTTTATTATTTATAAAGCTTTTAACAAAGAAACAAAAATATTTTTTATCGCAGGATATAGATAATTTAATGACAGAAGGTAACAAATCGAGAACGGTAGCGGCGACAAATATGAATTCGGAGAGTTCACGTTCGCATGCCGTTTTTTCTGTCATTCTCACTCAAACGTTGACAGATTCAAAAAGTGGTGTCAGTGGTGAAAAGGTGTCGCGTATGAGTCTCGTCGATTTGGCAGGAAGTGAGAGGGCTGTGAAAACGGGAGCTGTTGGTGATAGACTCAAGGAAGGAAGCAATATAAATAAGTAAATTTTTTAATCACACTTTTTCAATATAAAAAATTTAAAAGAAAAAGTTTCCTCGCTCTTTTCTTGTTTTCTAAAATTTATGTCTTTATCATTTTTTCAGATCACTAACTACTTTAGGACTAGTCATCTCAAAATTAGCGGATCAAAGTTCCAGCGTGAAAAATAAAGATAAATTCGTCCCCTATAGAGATTCGGTTCTAACTTGGCTTTTAAAAGTAAGAAATAATTTTCAAACAAAAAAGTAGAATATTTATCATAAATAGAGAGAGAGAGACAGAAACTTAATGCTTTTCACGAAGACGATTTATGCTTTTCAAAAAGCTGCAGTTATTCTGCAATTATGATTTACATCTGAAAACTTTTTTACTTAAGCTCAAAATTATTAAATATATCTAATAAAAATATTAAATTATTAAAATGAAAAAGTAATCTAAATTTTCAATAACCATTAAATTTATTTAAAAAAAAAAAGAAATACAGAAATTTCATCAATTTTAAACATAAAAAAATTCAAAGCCTATTTAAAGTTTTGAAAATTAACAATAATTTTTTTTTAAGATTATTTATATATTTTTCCATTAAAATTCTTAGAATATTTTTCAGTTTTCTATTAACTGCTGTATTTTTACTGATTTTCAAAAATTTAATGAAATTCTCTAAAAAAAAAATTCAATTATCTTAAATTATTTTTCAATTAAAAATTTTATGAAATTTTACAATTGTTTAGAATTTTAAAAAAAATCAGTAAATAAAATTACTAAAAATTTTAATTTTCCATCTAAAATTTTCTAACTCTTCCGAATTTTCAATTATTTTTATAATATTTTTCGAAAATTTAATTATCTGAAAGCATTTTTCAATTAAAAAATTTTTAAATTCAATTTTTGTCTGTAATTTCTAATAAATTCTTCATCAATAGAAATCACTAAAAATTGAAATTAAAAATCTCTTGAAGTTCAATTAATTTCGAAAATCTGAATTGTGTAAATCCTGGAAAATTTAATTTCTTTTTAAATTTAATGTTATCTAAAATTATTTGATAAATTATTTTTAATTCTGTAAAATTGAAATTATTTTTTAAAAAAAAGTTACAATTAAAAACTCTAAAATTGAATTATTAAATTCATTTATAAACAATATTTTGTTTTCTTTTAACAATATTGGAATTTATCGAGAATTATTTGATGGAAAATTCGAAATGACACTTTTTTTTTTAATCCAGGATAATCTCGGTGGTAATAGTAAAACTGTGATGGTAGCGACAATATCGCCGGCAGCTGATAATTATGAAGAAACACTTTCGACACTTCGCTATGCAGACAGAGCGAAGAGAATTGTCAATCATGCTGTGGTTAATGAGGATCCAAATGCAAGAATAATTCGCGAGCTGAGACAGGAAGTTGAGGCATTAAAAGAAATGCTTTTACATGCAACGGTACAGTTGAATAGAGAAAATATTTTTAAAAAATATTTTTTCAAACAATAAAATTCCATAGACAATTATTTTTATTTTTATATTTGATTGTTGTGTTTTCTTTTTTTTTAGGGTCAAGGCTCGGTTGTTGTTCAAAGACGTACAGACATCACTGAAAAACTCTCTGAATCGGAACGATTAATGAAAGAAATGTCACAAACATGGGAGGAGAAATTAGTGAAAACTGAGAGGCTTCAACACGAAAGACAACAGGCTCTCGAAAAAATGGGTATCAGTGTTCAAGCCTCTGGTATACAAGTGGAGAAAAACAAATATTATTTAGTTAATCTCAATGATGATCCTAGTCTCAATGAACTGTTGGTGTATTACTTAAAGGTAAATATATATATACTTTAAATTATATTAAAATTTATAAAAATATAAAAAGTATTTTTTGCTACGAACACTTTTTTTGACAGTCATTTGTTTATTTGTAGCAAAAATATACTAAATGAAATTTTGGAAAATATATTGCAAACAAAGCGAGATAGAGAAAAATTTCAAAAGACACTTTTTTTTACATCTTTTAAAGAGGAACAATTATTTCGACTAATTTAAAAAATATTCAATACTTTGCAGAAAATAATTTGTATATGTTTCTAGAATATAAAATGCTTTTTTTTTAAATTTATATTATTTCTTGTAAAATAAGAATTTAAAGTAGAAAAAAATAAGATACGGTAAACTATGACTTTTTTATTTAGTAGAGAATATTTTTAAAAAATTAAAAAAAAAAAAAATATTGATATTTGTTCCAAATAATTAAACTTAATATTTGTAATTGATTTAATTATTTAAAGAAGTTAAAAAATAATAGATTATTCTTTCAAAGTTCAACAGTCAAATAACCTAGTTTTGCGATATTTGTCAATTAATTAACATACAAAGAAAATTCATGAAACTCAAATTGAAATTAAATATTTATTCATATAGATACTAATTCAGTATTATCCAGAATATTATCTAAATTTTATTTATAAATACAGACTGAATTTAATTTACTTTAGAAATTGAATTAATTATTAAAAAATATGAAATTATAAAAATAAATTAAAAACTGATGAATATTTTCTTTGCATTTTTTTAATTTTAACTTTATAAATATAAAAAATTTACACTTTGCTTATTTTTACGATTTTCAATTGTTAATGAATTCTCTTAGAAAATAAGGGAAAAAATTTCAATTTTAATTTGTTTAAATTCAATTACGTACTTGAAAATTAAATTTTTTAAATTTAATTATTGAAAATTCAATAAATGGAAAAATAATTATAACAAGTGAGAAAAAAAAGTCAAATATTCCTGTTGATTTTTAGGAAAAAACTTTGGTTGGTGGTCGATCTGCAAAAGTCGAGCAAGATATTCAATTGCATGGCTTGGGAATTTTGCCCGAACATTGTGTGATAACAATAGAGGAATCTGGTTTATTTATGACCCCATTGAATGGTGCTAGATGTTTCGTTAATGGCAATCAAGTCACGGAAAAAACACCATTGCTTCATGGCGACAGAATCGTTTGGGGCAATCATCATTTTTTTAGAGTCAATTGTCCTAGAAGTTCGACAGGTACATTATTTATTTATTTTTTTTATTATATATTTACATTTACTTGCGATTTTTTTTTTAAATGAATTATTATAGGTAGTTTTTTTTATTTATTTTTATTATATATATATTTATAATTTTCTTACCATTTTTTATTAATCATTATAGGTAATTTTTTTATTTAATTATTTATATAATAAATAATAATAATAATAATAATAATTATAATTTTATAGTTTTTTTTTCTAATTTTTTTTTCAATTTTATTCCAAAAGGAAAATATTTTTTTGTTTTGACAAAATTGAATTCTTTTCATTAAAAAGGAGAAATTGAATATAATTTTCAGCGCTCAACAGTGAACCACAAACACCAGCACAAAATATCGACTACAATTTTGCTCGTGAAGAACTTATGCTCAATGAACTGTCAAATGATCCAATTCAAAGGGCGATTGCAAGGCTTGAAAAACAACACGAGGAGGATAAACAAGTTGCACTGGAAAAACAAAGATTAGAATATGAACGACAATTTCAACAATTACGAAATTTGGTGTCACCATCGACTCCTTATGCACCTTACATGCCTTATGATCCGCTGCGCGGTAATCAAGGTGGTAAACTTCCTGCATGCACACCAACAACTCAAATGCGAGTTGAGAAATGGGCACAAGAGCGGGACGAAATGTTCAAAAGGAGTTTGGGTCAGTTAAAAACTGATATTCTCAAAGCAAATTCTTTGGTACAAGAGGCAAATTTTCTTGCTGAAGAAATGGAGAAGCAGACAAAATTCAGTGTCACTTTGCAAATTCCACCAAATAATTTAAGTCCAAATAGAAAGGTATTGTTTCATGATTGTATTTCTTTTTTTTCAAATTTTTATTTAAAATTCTTTTTAAACTTTTTTGTTTTTAAAAAATTTTGAAAAACAGAATTGCCACGGGTCAGAGAAATCAGGGAAGTTAGGAAAATGTCAGAAAATTTAAAAAATGTTGTAAAATTAAATATACTATTAGAAGGTAACTAACATTTTCATGTGTCAAAAATGAAAGTGATCAGCGACCTTTAAAAATATTGAATTCTCCTTGAATTTATTTTTTTTACCTTGAAAATATTTAAATCACTTTGAATTTTAAAACAAAACTTTGAATTATTAAAATTTTATAAAATAATATTTACAGTTTAAAACACTATAAAAATCTTAGTTTAAGATTCATATTCAAAATTAAAAATTTAAATACAAAGAATTAAATGTGACGTAAAAAAATTTTTCATAAAATTTATTCAAATTCATACAATTAGTTTACTAAATTCCTGACTTCCAACAACAAATAAACACATTTTTTTCACAATAATTAGCACACAAAAATACGTAAAAAATTTTTGAAAATGTATCAAAATAATTAAATTTTTCAGGTTATATTTTTAGAAATAATTGAATTTTAGGCGATTTTAATTTTGAAAATTAATTGAATTTCACAAGTTTTTAAATTGTAATTTTTTTGTATGTAAATTTGAATTTCTGAAGATTTTTTTTTACAAATTCTTAAGTTATTGAGTGTTACGGAAATTTTAATTAACAATTTTTGCAAATAATTGAAATTTCGAAGAATTTAAAAAAAAAAATTTTAATTAATTAAATTTTCGAAATTTAGCAGATCCATTTTTTGTTCATAATTAAATTTTAAAATATTTTCATTTGTAAATTTGGAAAAAATTTAAAAGTTTAAAAAACTTTGTAGGTACAAATTTATTGTAAAAATTTAATTTTGATATTTGGAAATAATTGATATCTCGAAGAGTTGCAATCAAAGTTTTTAAATAATATAATGAAATTTTTGAGTAAAAGAATTTCATTAAAACTTAAAAATTCGTAATGGAATTTTTTTTAAGAATTTGAATTGTCCTTTATACAATGTTTTGTTTAACATAATTTTCATTTTATCGAATTTTCATTTATCACAATTTTTTTTTTAATAGAATTCCCATTTGATAAAAAAGAACAAAATCCGAAAATATCAGGGAAAAATCCAAAATATTGTCTGGAAATCAGGGAAATGTGAGAGAAAATTATAATGAAAATTTTGTGGCAACCCTTTTACAGTTATTTGCTATTTTTTTCTTTTTTTTACAAAAGTTAATTTAATAATTAATTCTTTATTTTGATTTTTGAAATTTACTTTTTATAATTTCGCATTTATTTTTAGTTTGATTTTGAGTTTTTTATTTTCCTTTTTTGACACTCTCACAAATGAAGAGTGTATTTTTTCAGCGTGGAGCCTTTGTAAGCGAACCTGCGATTTTAGTAAAGAGAATCAATATGGGAAGTCAAGTTTGGTCGATGGAAAAACTAGAAAATAAATTGGTCGACATGCGGGACATGTACGAAGAACGAAAATACTCTAACAATTGCCAACGGTTGTCAGCCGTTAAGGTAAATAAAAATAAAATAAAATTTTCTCCTTTTTTTTTGATTTTATTCATCACATTTTTTTCATGTTACAAAAAAAATTTTAATATTGATAGAATTTTTACTTGAGAATTTAAAGTGTTTAAAATATAAAACTTTTTTTTTTAGGATGAAGTGCCTGGAAAAATTCAAGATCCATTTTATGAGACCCAAGAGAATCATAATTTAATTGGCGTGGCGAATATTTTCTTGGAAGTTTTATTTCACGATGTACGATTGGATTATCATACACCAATAATTAGTCAACAAGGTGAAGTTGCTGGACGACTTCAAGTTGAAATCAGTCGAATATCGGGACAATTTCCACAGGATCGTATTTGTGAAGCGGCATCAGAATCGTCGACAGATTCTGGTTCTTCTGAATATGATGATTATTCGGGTTCAAGTCACATTACATGCCGTGTGACTATTAAACAAGCGAGTGGTTTACCATTGTCATTAAGTCACTTTGTATTTTGTCAATATATTTTTTGGGGACATCCAGAACCCATTGTTGTACCACCATGTCCGTCGTCTGAATTTTCCGATACAAATTGCGTTTCAGGACAAAAAGATTCTCTTGCATTTAAATTCGATCACACAAAAGACTTTACTGTTTTAATTAATGAAGAATTTATGGAACATTGCTCGGGTGAGAATTGTTTTTTTTTTATTGCTAATGCGTCTTATTTTAATTAAATTTAAATTAATTTTAAACGAAATTAAGAAATTTATAAAGAATGAAGAAATTTTGAAAAATCTTTTTACTAAAAGAGAGGAAATATTTTTTCTTTTTTTTACAGAAGGTGCATTAAGTATAGAAGTTTGGGGTCATAGAAGTGCGGGTTTTTCACGCAGTAAACCTGGTTGGGAAGTGGAACAAAAACAATTGGCAAAAGCAAGATCATTGGCAGATAGATGGTCGGAATTGACGAGAAAAATTGAACTTTGGGTGGAAATTCAAGAATTGAATGAACAAGGAGAATATACTCCTGTTGAAGTCGTTGCCAAGCCAGACACATTGACAGGTAACCATTTTTTTTTTTTTATAATTGTACCGTCAACCGTGGCTATTATACTTAAAAAAAGCGCTACATTTTTACTTCGATCTTCACTAAAATTCAGAATTTAAATAAAAAAAAATTTCAACTCTTGTCTTTACATTCCGTTTGTAAATTTACGCAATTTTTAAATTAATTTACATTCGGGTTGAGTTTTTACTTTGAGATTGGTAAAATAACTCTCAAGTTATGTTTCTTTACTACGTGGGACGCATGGTAATTTTTTTTCAACGTCCGACGTAGTAAAATTACCCTGAAATTTATTTGTCAAACAATATTTACACCAAGCATCTTAAACATTTCTGTATAAATATTTTATTAATTTAAAAACTGACGCCCCGATAGACGGTTACTATTTTTTTTCTAAATAAAATTTAATTAAAATCAAAATTTCATTTTAGATGAATTAAACGAACGTTTATTTTATTTTATTAAATAAATAAATTCGTCGATTGAAATTTTGTTTTATGGATTTTTATCTTTAAAATATTGATTAATTTTATACTTAAGAGTGTTGGAACGGTTTTTGAAATTCTTTAGCAGGGATAGACCTTTAATTATCGCCCTACAAAAACGGTACTGTATGTATTCGACACTTATAATAAAAATTAAATTTATTTTTTATTCATTTTTCTTTTTGTAATTTTTTTTTTGTTTTCACTTTTACGGCAAGAATAATGTTAAATTTAATATTTGTATATATAAAGGAAAAAATTGTTTCAACGAAAAATAGAATATTTTTCAAGTGTTATTACACCTATTATTGAGCAGGAATGAATAAAATATTTTTCTTTTTCTTCTTTTTTTTTTTTAGGTGGGATTTATCAGTTACGACAAGGCCAACAACGAAGAATACAAGTTCGAGTGAAACCGGTACAAAATTCAGGAACATTGCCAATAATCTGCCAGTCAATTTTAAATATTGCAGTTGGCAGTGTCTCTGGAAGGAATCGATTTCAAAATCCTTTGGACAGTTATCAGGACGAGGATCTTAGCATATTACGGGAAAAGTGGAGTGACGCTTTAATGAGAAGAAGACAATATTTGGATCAGCAGATACAAAAGCTCATTAATAAACATGGTAAAATTATAAATATTATATTTTTCTATATAATATAAAAATAGAATAATTTTATAAAAATAATTATAGTTGAATTTTATTCAAATTAATATTAATTAATTAAATTATTAATTAACAAATTTTTTAAACTTAAAATATTGATTGAATTATTAAATTTAAAAAATGTCAGGTAATTAATTTTTATTTTTTATTTATATTCAGAATCAATTTCCGACCAGATTCCAATTTTTACATGAAATCTTTCAATAAATTTTTCATTTTTAACCCTCGGAGTGATTTATTTTTTTTCAATATTATTGAATAATAATAAATATTTAATAATAAAAAAAATACTTTATTAACTAAATTTATTAAAAATATCGATATTTCGATGTTTTTTTTGTTTCTGATGTTATGCTATTGAAGTGACTTTTTTTTATTGTCGACTTAAAGTCAATCCGAGGCCTGAATTTTTAATATATAAAATAATTTCCTTTAATAATTACTGAAATAATTTGAATATGTGCAGAAAAAACTGAACAGGAGAAAGAGAGGGAACAAAGTCTGGTGGATCAATGGGTGAGCTTAACGGAAGAAAGAAATGCCGTATTAGTTCCTGCAGCAGGTTCAGGTATTCCCGGCGCACCTGCTGATTGGAATCCACCATCTGGCATGGAACCACATATTCCAGTTTTATTTCTTGATCTCAATGGTAAAAAAAAGAAATTTAATTGTTTGGCTTTTTTATATTTTAATTATATTTATTTCTAAATTTTGCATATTTAAATATGCACAGTGTATTGAAACTGTTCTATTCTTTTTTTTTCAAGCTGATGATCTCTCAACACATCAATCAGGCGAAGAAGTATCCGTTAGTGGATTAAATTCAATTTTACCAAAAGAACACGGGCACAAATTTTACAATTTACCAATTATTCGACATCTCGAGAAGGATGTTTGTGCCACGGCGCCTTGGGATTCGAGTATACACGACAGTGTACATCTTAATAGAATCACGGATGGTAAAATTAGAAAATTTAATATTATTAATTTATTTTTTTTTAATACTAAAAATTGAAATTGTTGAAATTGAAATTGATAACATAGATATAATTATAATTATTTAAATGAATGAATTAGTTGAAAAATTAATTAGCTAATTGAAAATTTAATTTCAGCTAACGAAAGAGTGTTTCTTATTCTAAAAACTACCGTCCGTCTTTCTCATCCAGCACCAATGGATCTTGTTTTACGCAAGAGACTCTCTCTTAATATTTATAAAAGACAAAGTATAACTGAAAGAATTTTTAAGAAAATTGGACGAACCGATTGTTTATCACAGACTGGAGTTACGTACGAAGTAGTTTCTAATATACCAAAGGCTAGTGAGGAGTTAGAAGATCGCGAAAGTTTGGCACAAATTGCCGCCAGCGGCGAAGACAGCAATTTATGTGATGGCGAAACTTATATAGGTAAATAATTCTTTTTTTTTAAATATAATGATAAACAATTTTTTTTTTATCTTTTAAAGTTTCTCTTGTATATTCCTAAATTGTATATTTTCCTTTCTCAAGTTGTCGTGTTTTTTTTTCTTTTTCAATATTTCCTCAAACTGTTCGTGGTTTAAAATTTTCATTCAAATTTTACTTTTTGTTTTAGAAATTCTTAAAACTAATTTATTTAAAGTAGTTTCAAAGTATATTTAAAACTTTTAATAATAATAAATTTTTTATTATTAATAATTAAAGTAAAAGTAGAATTTTTTTTATAGAAATTATATAATTGTTTACGCTTTTATTGCTACTTATTTATTTTATATTTATTGAAAAAAACTAAGAAACAAAACTTACTTTATTATTTAAATAAAAAATATTTTTAGTTTTAATGCCGAAAGTGAACCTTGAAAAATCTTGAAAAGTCAATGAATTATTTTTTCAAAAATTGCTGAACATCTTAAATATAATATAATATAAATAATATAATATATAATGTAATAAATTTATATAATTATAGTTTTATTAAAAATTGATATGAATTTTGTTTTCTTTAATTATATTAGAAAAATATACTCGTGGTGTTTCGGCTGTGGAAAGTATTTTAACGTTAGATCGTCTAAGGCAAAATGTAGCCGTGAAGGAGCTTTTGCAAGCACAGGGTCAGCCTTTGATGCGAAAGACAGCGAGTGTCCCCAACTTTTCACAGGTAATATTTTCTTCTTTTTTCTATTTTTCAATTTTATTTAATTAAATTCATTTTTAATCACTGTCAATTAAAAAGTTTACGTATTTTTATTTTAATCATTTATTTTGAAATAAACAAATAAATAAATTAGTTATTTATCATTTTTTTTTATATAAAATAAACAATAAAATCGTAATTTATAGATCATGAGATTCGATACGTCAATGGACTCCTTAAATGTAACTCGTTCCGAGAGTGTAACAGACCTAAATTCAGAGCTAAGTAACCTAACACTCTCACGCAGAGCATCTTCAGGACACGCGAGGAACGATGACAATTTCTTGACGACACCGCCTAAATCCTTCGGAATTGGTATGTATTATAAATTCCTTTTATAAATTTTATCTATATTTATAACTATAATTTAAAATATTATAACATTATCATAATAATAATTCTAAGATTTCTTAATTTTTCGAAAAAAAATTTTTAACTAGTTGAATAGAATTTTCTTTTTAATTGACAATATAAAATTAAATTCTGATATATTAATTAATACATATTGCTATTAATTAAAATTATAATTTTAAGAAATCGTAGAATATTTTATATCTAAATATTTAGGACTCGAAGAATTGAAAAAAATTATTTTTAATTATTTCCGATTGTTGATAATATATAATTAACATGTTAATATTATTTTTTTTTTACAATTACAATTTTAACAATTCTCAACCGTACTGATCTAAAGTACAACAACAAAAAGGTAATTCAATGATAAAAATTGAAAATATAAATTTTCTGCTCTTCATGCGTCAGCCCCAATGCGACAGCAGTGCGAATTTTTTTTTTTTTTTTTTTATGTGATCATCTCAAAATAAAGAGAAAAAATGAAAACTTAAATTTTTTTTAGCTACATATAATTTTACAATGCGCAATATTTATTATCACAATTTAGGTAGCTGTTGCAAAAATGCTTTGCTGCCGATTGGTGGCTTAATTTGAAAAAAAAAAAAAAAAAAAAAACAATAATTGCCCATGTAGCTTTAGCAAAAATTATTATTAAATAGAATTTTGCCACTTAAGTAGACCCTATATTTACATTTACAAATAACTTTTTAGCTTGTAAATTTAAGTATACGAACACTGCATTTATTTAAGTTCAATTTTGTATTTATGTTTAAATTTTTTTATTTAAATTATTGATTATTTGTTAAATTCTCTAATGAAGATTTTAGTAAATTTGTTAAAATATGATAAAAAAAAACGAATTAAACAAAATTTTCCAATATATTTTTTACAACTGTTTTCAATTTTAATTTATTTTTATTTTTTACATAATATACCTTTGTGTTTTTAAGATATATTTAAGGTATAAAAAAAATTTTTTTTTTGTTAAAACTTTAAACTTAAACTTTAAGCAGAAATTAATATGTGAAATTATTATTGACATACTGACTAAGGAATTTAGTCTTAGAATAATATTATTTTAATCTATAGACTTAAGTCATTTGTCATAAAACTTGGTTCGCTTTTTATTCTTCTCATCTAATGAGGAATCGCCAATTACTGAGATGTGGCTTATGCTGTGTTTTTGTATTTCGATTGTCATGAAATTCATTTTTCATTAATTTTTTCAAGCCTATTATTGTTTTTTTATTTTTATTATTATTATTATTATTATTATTGTTATTATCACTATTATTTTTATTATTACTATTAATAATTAATACTATTATTAGGCAGCAATAACTATTTTAATTAAATGAGAAATTAAAATTAAAAGACAAAATTTTTTTTTTATTTATATTGAATTGACAATAATTGAAATTTAAATAATGACTTTATTTTTTGTATTTTTTTTATTTTGTCTACAAAATTATTTTGTTTTACCGTCAACTGGGGTAATTATATCCACAAAAACGCTATTATTTTACTCGAAGTACATTAAAGTTTGTTTATTTATAAAATATCGTAAAAAAAAAATTTATAATTGCTTTATCTATATGAAATCTCTTCTTAAGATAGTCTTGAATGCAGTAAATAAAAATTAAAAAATTTTTTTGCTAAAATTTTTCAACAAATTCGAAAATTAAAATTGCAATTTTATTAAAATCTACTGGCGATTGAAACTGGACCCTTGGAAGGGTACAATTACCTCAGTTGATTAAATTTTAATATTAATTCCTTTTTATTATTATTATTATTACCTATTATTTATTTATTTATTTATTTTTATTGTCTATTAGAAAATGATTAATTTTTTAAAAATTTACAAACTTAATATTTTATCTACTTTATTTATTAAAAAGTTACTACTCAACACTAACTACTAATATTATTAGTATAGGTATTATTATTCTTTTTTTTTATTTACTTATTTTTCTGGCAACTGTACTGAGTATGATTTTTAAAATAATATAATCATTATAATGATGTCTTATTATTTTTATTATTATTGTTATTATCTTTAAAAAATAATATCATTCATTTAAAGCATGAACCTTTCATATGTGATCCGGAACGTTTACGAGACCTTCGATTTTATTCCCCTTTTGCATTTCTATATTATTAAAAAAAAAAAATAATAATAATAATATTTTATAATATTAATTATGCACTTATCGAAACTTATGAAAGGCAATTGCAGTCACTTAGATTAAAAGCGAATCTCAATTTATATATTATATAATAGTCTTGTCACAGGTATTTGGAAGAATCCTGATTTTTGTATTATTATTTATTATAAATTGCAATTTTTTTCTCTACATCATGTCCGCAAATCTGATTCATTTGTTCAAAAAAAAAAAAAAAACAACAAAAAAATGGGAAATGAATTTATTCCAATCATTTCATGCTTCAGCTTGAATTATTTTTATATTAGCTTTAATATTTCAGCTTTAAGCTTTTTATTCTCAAAAGTAAAAAAAAAAAAAAATCGGAAAAATTTGTCAGATTTGATGTTCATCATGTACATTTTTCAGCTTCTGCCATGTTTTTTTACGACAAAGCTATGTTCAACTGTAATGATATCCCTTTAATTTAGAAATTTATACTTGAATTAGAAATATATTTATATAATATGTAATTATATGTAAATTAGAATTATATGATTATAATGTCGTTTTTTTTATTTATTTTGATAAAATATTAAAATAGAATTAGAGATACTATATATTATATTAGTTATTGAAATTAGATTTCTACTGTTTGTTTAATTAAAAAAGAAAAGGGAAAAAAGTGCACTTAGAAAAAAATTTTGTATATTTAATTTTTTTTTCTTTATATTGCAAAGAAAGAATTATTGGTGGGGAAATTATTAAAAAAAATTGATTAAAATTGTTATAAAATTAATAATTAATGCCTATAATTATTAATTAAATACTATAATGTTAATAGTAATAATTTTTTAATTTAAATTTTTATTTTTATCATTAATTAATAATCAACAATTTATAATTAATAATTTATTGTTATGAAATTGAAGTACAATATAAAAAATATTAATTTGAATAAGTTTTTCAATTTTAAAATAATTTTTATTATAATCAAAGGAAAATTTCCCTTTTTTTTCTATAAATAAAAATTCTTTCAAATTAATGTCTTTAATATTCCAAATGAAACATTTTTTTCATTAAAATAATTCATTTTTATTTCAAAAATCTATTGTTTTCAAAAATTCATTTTCAAAATTCCTTTTTTAATTAAAACAAATTTCTTGTTAACAAAAATTTTTTGTTATGTTTATAAAAAATTTATAAAGAATATAAATATAAATTATAAAAAAAAAAAAAAATCCAAGTGCTTGAAAAGTTGAACGTAGTTGAAGTCACTTTTTATAAAGAAGTCGCCTGGCATTTATTGAGCTCCTTCTTTTATATATTAAATTTATAATAAACTACAAAATATAAACAATAATTTCTACATGATAACCAAAAAAAAAAAAAATATATTAATGACTAATTAAATAATAAAAAAATGTCTTGCTTTTTTGTTCCTCTGTTTATCACTACGACTTCCACCACTATTTTGGCCCACCCAAGGCTCCATTCTCAACTCAGGTAAAATGGAGTCTTGATTAAACGTTTAATTTACACGATTGATACAATAAAAAAAAATATATATATATTTATTATTATAAACAGTAATTAGAATCGTTTCGTGAGTGATTGAATTTAATTGTTACAGTTATTTGCTCGTATTTATATGTAAAAGAAAATCTATGTAAATACAGTTTTTTTTTTTTTGTAATTATTGATTTATAGTGAAGAGTATCGATTGTGTTTCTGTCATTATCTCTCTTTCTCTCTCTTTCTCTTATTTTGCATGGGAATGTTTAGGCATTGTATTAGTTTGTCAAATATTTTTCAATTATTAATGCCTTTTATTTTTTATGTAAATTTTTTTTTTTTTTCAATAAAGCTTTTGCGTAAATATTGCATTCGATCGACGCACGAAGAGATCCCTTTATAATTTAGCGTCTGTTTTAATAAAGAATATTCACATTAGAAGTCATTCAAGTGGAATCGCGACGTAAGAGGATTATTGATATGAATTTTTTTTTTTTTTTTTTTTTTTTTTAATTAAAAACCTTATGATGTTTAACGTGCATTTTGATAAACAAATTGTTTTTTAATATAATTGGTTCGAATAAGTGGAGACAGTTTTATTTTATATATATTTAATTTTTATAAAATTTTTATTCAAATTTTTTTTTTATAATACAAGGCTAGAATTTTTATTTTTTTATTATTAATTTTTTTCAAAATAAATTTATAAATATAACTAAAACTTATTTGAGCCAATTTCACAGAAATTTTTTGTACAAATACACTAAAAACCATTTTTTTACAGACACTCTTCAAATTATATTTACGATAATATGCTTTTTTTTTCTTTAAAAAAAAAAAACTCACCAGGAACTCGATTATTATTTTTCGAAAAATTTGTGATTCAAAAATAAGTGATTCGCGATAAATTAATTAGAATTAACAGAGTTTTTAATTGAAAGAATTTTCATTTGTCCGAAATTGCAAATGATTTTAAAAATCGCGCCAAAATCTTTCTGTCGATTTAAATGAAAATTCGAGCAAATAAAAATTCTGTGAAGTTAAATTTTTGGTTATATAAAAATTCTGTAATATGGAAAATTGTGCTGATGAAAATTCTGTCAAATACTAATTCGAACAAATAAAAATTTGGCTCAAAACTATAATTATTAATGAAGTTCCATAAAATGATAATTCTAACAAATGATTTTTAGAACATAATCATAACATAATTTAAAGTATAATTAAAAATTAAATTACATAATTAAGAACGGAATTATATATAAAATAAAAATGATTTTAGATTTGAAGAAAAATTTTCAAATTGCTTCCTTGTATTTGGATCACAATTCCATGATCATAATTATTTACAAAAAAAAAGAAAGCTAGTTTAAAGTCAGGAGGTACACTTTTGTAATAATGATTAGTAATCGTTGATTGAGGACGTTATTGTTATAAACAAAAGAGTGATTAGTTGTTTTGCATGATATCAGAGAGTAAAAAAACATAGTGCATGTCTATTGAAAAAAAATAATGTACTTTGAATTATTGTAAAAGGTTAATTATTGAAAAAAAAACAATAGCCATTGACTTTAAACTAATAATATTTTAAATGCATTTTAAAATTTTTTGTCCAAAAAAATGTACATAATATAAAAATAAGTTTGTCATATTGTATATAATTGTTAAAATAATTTTTTTATTAATCTATAATTTAAATTAATTTTAAAACTATTCTGTAAATATTATTCTAATTATTGTAATATTATTTCACGCAGTTATTTTTATTGTTATTTTAATATATTTTTTAATATTGTATAAAATTCACATCGAGAAAATATCGACGATGTCATTGTACACAAATTTGCATTGGTAAATTTTTTTTGTAACAATTTTTGAAATTATTTTTTAATATTTTTTTATATATAAAAAGATTGTAATAATTTTTTTTTTTCTATTTTCTTATTTTTATTAATATAATTTCTCTGTTAATATTTTCGTACATAAAAATACTAATGCAGAATTGTGCAATATTATAAGATGAATCAAGGTGATAATTTAAAATATAAAAGATAGCAGAAAATGTAAGAAGGAAAATTTTTTTTTTTTTGTTCAATAAATATTTTGACGCGGTTGAATCGCTTTTTTTAAATTAAAATTTTCTAAATTTAATTCAAATATATATTATTTTGCCATTTTTGCACTTTCTACTAAAATTTATTGTTTGAAAAAAAAATCCAGAAGAAAATAATTTTTCAATTTTTTTTTTCTTAGATTTTTAAAAAAAATTTCAAGGAAAGAAATTACGAAATTTTTGTTAAATTACTATCCCAAATGAAATAAACAAAAACGAAATATTTATTGAAAATTTACAATTGAAGATATAAAATTGAAAAAATTTATAAAAACAAAAAACAAAGAAAAATTAGAATGTAGTTCCCATGATTCATCAGTTTATAAGCCTGCAAACGGCCTATAATAATAATAATTTATGTTTGACAAAAAAAAAAAAAAAAAAAAATGTAGAGTGTAGTTATCATTTAGAATTTATTTTATAATCAATATATACATCTGTCTCCTTTCAGCGAGACCAACATTCCTGAATCTCAACCTGAATCTCAACTCATTGACACGTCTGCAACAATCCACCTCTGCCAAGTGTAGGTGACACATAGTTGTCTGTTATTCTTTCAAATTTATTTACAATAATTTTTAAATTATATTTATTCGTTTGATATTTTTATTTATCTATTGTCTTGAAAATTTGAAAGAGTACACAAACGACCATCTTAGCAGAGTTTTGTTTCATTTTTCTCCACCTTTTCATTTATGTTCTTTCAGGCTAGAATTAATATCGCATTTTATGTTTTGCTTTTAAAAAAATATTTATTTTCCTAACACTATTTTAGTTTCCTTAATTTTCCAGGTATTTTCAAACACGTGTCATAATTTAATTTTTTTGTAAATTTTGTATGTTAATATTGCGTGCAAAAATTAATTCATCGTAGAAAATTAAAAATTGTTATCAATATTTTTTGATAAATTTTCTAATTTTGTTTATCATATTATTGCGTGCAAAAAATTATGTTTTTGTATAGAAAATTAAAAATAGTTATTATCAATACTAAATAATTGAAAAAAATTAATATTTTAATAATAATTTTTAATATAATATTAATATTTAATAATTTTTTCTAATCTAGTTTTCAATTTAGTGTTCATGTGTTTTTATGTTTAAAAAATCAAATTTGAAAAAAATTTAATTAAAAATTTTTAAAAATTGAATAAAAATGTTATTTTATTTAGAATAATTATTAAAAGTTTCATGTAGAAAATAAGTAAATATTGACACGTGGAGATGCGATAATTTTTTTTTTTTTATTATTTCAGTAGCACGTAGATCCTTTTTATTTTTCATTTTTTGTAGAAGTAAAAATTTAGAAAAATAAGTCCATCAGTTCCGAACTGGCATTTTTAGTTTTATAAAATTTCTAATCTTCAATTATAGATAGTTTAGTATTTAATATTCATCGAATTATATATAGTCAGATCGGTTCTGATTGGTTGATGAAAAAAATGAATAATAATTATATTGAAAAATTACATATTCTGCAATATTTTCTGTTTTTTTTTGTGTTTTTAGAGTGTTTTTAATTTTTCTTTCTTCAGTATTCGTCTAATTAGACCATTTTTAATTTATAGCTTCGCCTAATATGGTTGGCAGTAAATTAGGCCTACGTATGACTACGCTTCATGAAGAAACTTCAAATACAGGAAATCAATTATCTTCGCCTATTCAAGATGATGATGAAGAAAAAAGTGAAGCCGATTATGGTGACTACGAAACATACCAGGTATTTTGACGAAAAATTTATTTAAATAAAAAATTATTTTTTACACTTTCACTTTTACTATATGTGACAAAAAAAATTTGTAAAATAATTTTAATTTTTCGATATTATTATTATTATTAAACTAAAAGGAACGAAAAAAAACTGAAAAATCAGAAATTGAATTTAGAAAAAAATACCTTAAAACAGGTTAATTTCTAAGAATTTTTTTTTATTTTTAAATAATTATTTTTTGTACATTAACAAAAGAAATCTCTTATACTATCCAAAATTTTGCATTAAAAATTAAATTATTTGAAAATAAAATAGACATTTGTTGTAAATTTATTTTCAAATATTTCGAATAATTTTTTTTCTTCCTGTAGAAAGTGGAAAATTTTCCGACTTAGAGTTAAGAAATTTTATTTTTAATTTAATTTAATCTTTTTTATTTTGAATATAAATTAAGCTTTTATCTACCAAAATACAATGTTACATAGAATAAGAATTGCAAAATTTACTACTGAAAATGCTATGAAAAAAATTAATTTTATCATTAGAGTAAAAATATAAGTGCGAGTGAAAATATAAAAAAAAAATATATTTACAATTGTATTTAAATAAAAGTGACAGTTTAAAAAAAAATTAATTTTACTGTAAATGAAAGGAAAAGTGTAAAAATATAATTTTAATACATATAAGTAAAAGTGTAAAAAATAATTTTTTTTTTTTTTTTTTTTCGAGTGACAATAAAAGTGAATAAGTAAATAAAAAAATAAAAAGAATAAATCAAAACCGTCAATAATGTCGGGGAATTTTTAACCTAATGAAAATTATAAAAATATCAAAATTTTACATACCGAAAATTTAAATAATGTAAAAATTTTCCAGTCAGGGAACAGTCAGAGAAATGTCAGGGAATTTTGCAACTGAAATTTTGCGGCCACCATGATTTAATTCAAAAAATAACTTGAAATACTCGAAAATAATTTTAAATAAATAAAAATAAATAAATTCATTTGTAGTATTTTAATTTGAAAATAAATTTAAATAAATAAAATATCTCCTATATCTATTATTAATTATATATTTTGAAAAGAAATTTCAATTCCTTCTTTTTAAAAATATTTTTTTTTTTAATTATCCAAATTAGTAGGAATAATGAATTATCATAAAATATTTAATATTTGAAATAAAAATTGATAATCTGTAAATTTTATTTTGAAATTATTGTTTATTTGAAAGTTGATAATTTTTTTCTATATGTAATCAATTCGAATGATTATGTTTAATTATAGGCTCCGCCAAAATTAGTAAAACCCCTGACAACTTCTCGTACACTGGACTCTCTTGTTGAGCTTCAATCAACGAAAATCAACACACCTAGTATGAGTAGTAGTGGCTATGGATCGCAAGCTGTTTCAACAACGAATCTAACTTCTGAAGACTCAATTTCAATAAAATCGATTAGCGTTGATGAGACCCCAGACACTGAATGTAGAACACTTTTTGAAAATAAAAAACCCGAGAGAATGGACAGTTCTTTGGTTGAAGAAACGCCTGAGGAATATTTTGGTGAAATAAATACTGAATTGGAAAAAATTACTGAATCTCCGACATCGTACAGAAAAAATAATTGGAGAACTGGTTAGTAATAATTATTATCAATAATGTAATTAAATATTAATTTTTGTTGGATCAATTCATTATATCTCACCTAAAGTCATTGCACATAAAAATAATGTAATTGTTAAAAAATTATTTTACTTCAAGACAGTAATCGTATTTTTTTTAAAGTTTCAAAAAATTTGAGGTTTTGCAGAAATTTTTTTTTTACTGAAAAATCAGCTAAAAAAAGATAAATTATTTGTTATTAAAATTTAACGAAGGTCAATTACCACTGGAAGAACCAAGTTTTAAGAAAAAATTTTAAACTTACAAAAATTATTTATTTTGTATAATTTGCATATGATTGAAATTTTCTTTATTTTGCTTCTTTAAACTTTTTTAAAAATTATTTGATTTAAATGAAACATTACTTATTTTTTTGTTGGAAATTATTTTTTAAACAAATAACAATATTTAAAAAAAAACGGTGAATTTGTTTAAAAATTCCTGTGATGAAGATTGTAAAAATTATTTTCTGAAAATCGGATCATTTTAAACAAATTTTAAACAAGCGATATGAATAAAATTTTAATCATATATGCAAAATATATAAATAAATAATTTTTGTAAGTTTTAAATTTTTTCTTAAAACTAAGTGTCGGTTCTTCCAGTGGAATATTATTAATGATATTTTAAGTTTTTTTTTTTTTTAAATAAGTAGGAAAAATGTCTAAAAAAAAATTCTGAAGACAATTCAATTTTAGACTTTTTATTTGAAATTTTTTTTAAATAAATGAATTTTAAAAGAAATATTAAAATTATTAAAAAGTAATTGAACTTTGGAAGAGTTATAATTGAAATTTTTAGAAATATTTAAATCTCAAAAAATTTGGTAAATTTCAGACAATAATTAAATTTTACATAATTGAAAATAATTTATCAAATAATTTTAGATAACATTTTTTTTAAAAGTAATTGAATTTTCAAAGATTTATAATTCAGATTTTTGAAAGTGATTTTTAATTGAAATTTTTGGTGATTTCTGTTGATGAAGAATTTATTAGAAATTATAGAATAAAATTGAATTTAAAAATTTTTCAATTAAAAAATGCTTTTACACAATTCAATTTAATTCAATTCAATTTAAATTGAAATTTTTGAAAATAATTGAATTCAAATGATTCGGAAGAGTTATTATTGAAATTATTAAATTTCAGAAAGTTTTAGATATAAAATTTGAAAAATAATTAAATTTTAAAAGGTTTTAAATTGAAAATTTTTGGTAATTTTATTTGCTGATTTTTTTTAAACAGTAAACAATTGTTAAATTATATAAAATTTTTAATTGAAAAATAGTTTAAGATAATTTGAATTTATGAAGAATTTCATTAAAATTATTAAAAATAATTAATTCAGAGAAAAATTTTAGTTAAAAATTTGTTAAATTATTGAAATAAAGAAGATTTTAACATCTGCATTGTATACTAAAAAAGATGTAATTTGTTTTAAAATTTTGAAAAAGAAAAGAAAAAAAAATCGCATCTTATTAAAATAATTCGAAAAAAAGTCCTATTTTCGAATAAAAAGTCAGAAAAAGTCGTATAGTCCGAGGCCTGAGATAATTGTCAAAAATAAATTGTACGGATATAAAAAATTGTTATATTGTGAATTTAAAAATTTCTTTCTAAATATAGTCCGCAATGACTTTAGGTGAAATATAAATTTATTAATTTTATTTATCGCCAATAATTTATAAATTGCAGAAAATTCGCGAAAAAATACAGATCAAATTGGTGCTTACGTAGAAAGGGGAAAGAATTGTTCTGTCGTTGTCAGTGAAGATGAATCAATTCACAATTATGGAAAGAGTAAAGATGTGAATAATTCCGATGGTGACAATGAAAAAAGAAAGGAATTTGAAACAAGTCAAACATCGAATTCAGGGGATGATAGTCCCTTGGAAGGAAATTCGATTATTCAAAATAAATTATCGCCAGGAAAGGTGATTATTAATATTTATATTTTATTAATATAAAATTTTGAAATTTTTTTTTTAATTTACTGTTATTTTTTTTGTGTTTGTAGGTTGTGAGAAGAAAGAAAACTTCGCTCAATACGGGTAAATTATTAAGTTGTCAGCACAGGGCATCATTTCCTATGGTCCGTCCACAATTTTCTGAAAGTAAGGCTGCTGCTCATTTGGAGCAGACAATGCAACCATCCATGTCCTATGAGAATGGTGATACTAGTTCTTCTGAGCGAATCGATGGTGTGTAATAAAAATCATTTTTTAAAATTTTTTAAATTCAGAAATATTACACACATCTGATAATAATTAGTTCATTTTTAATAATATTTAACCTTTTTGAAAATTCGATGCAAAAATTCCAGAAAAATAATTTATTATTTCTTCGGTTGTGAGGAAATAATTTTTTTTAATGTTTACATAATTTTTTGAAATTTAAAAAATTTTTTTAAATAATAGAGAAAACTATTATTATTAATACAATTCGAGAAAAATAAATATCCCATAAATTTTACAGTTTAAAAATTATGATTGTCCTGCAATGGAAATTTTTTTTTTTTAAATCTGTTTATTTACCTTGAAAAAAATAAATTATAATAATGAACTTTTCTATTTCACAGATGATACAAGTGAAAAAAGTTCAGTCTTTGGTTCGCGGCATGATTTAACAAGAATTGAAGCACCATTACCCGATTGGGTTGTGATTGGTGAATCGGTTTTAATTCGCCCTTACAGTTATTCGGGAGTCATTGCTTACGTAGGTCCCACGCATTTTGCATCAGGAAATTGGATAGGAGTTGAACTTGACGCGCCCACGGGTAATTTTCTCAAAAAATTTCACAAATAATTATATTACTTTTTTTTTTTTTTCTCTGTACAAAATTAAAATTACACTTTGGAATATTGTAAATGACAAAAAAATTTAATTGCAATTTAGGGAAAAATGACGGTACTGTTGGTGGTCATAAGTATTTTACATGTCGTCCAAAGTGTGGAATTTTCGTTAAAGTCGATAAACTTATTCAAGATAAACGTGGACGAGCTCTTCGAAATTACACTAAACAGGATACTTCATCTCAATCCACATCATCATCATCAATGCGACGAAGTTCCAGTAGAGGTATAATAATAATTTAATTTTATCAAATTCTCATATGACGAATTTTTTATTGGATCAAATTTTTGACAATATTCATTTGAAGAAATTGTCAATTAATTTCTGAATTTCACAGGCGAGGGATTACATTCTTTGCGTCGAAGTCGAAGTCGGGGAGAAGGTCTCTGGACATCACTAACACGTTCATCACCCCGAAACAAGTAAATAAATAATAACATCGCTTATTAAATACATCTTCGTTTCGAATCACTAAACGATATCTTAAAAAAAAAAAAATTGCCTACATGTCTATGGTATATGTAGCGACAGTGTTTTCAGTCCCTTAGAATTTAGGGCAGCTATTGATTGTCAATAATTATAAATATTGAAGATATTAGAACTAAATTAATGCGTATAACACAAAAAGACACACACATGTTTAATATTTCTTTCTTTTTTTTAATTTTTTGTTGATTTCAAAAAAAAACATGTAGGCGCTACAGTTGTTTTAATTTATATTTTTTAGAATAGTACGAATGCATAATAATAATTATAATAATAATAATAATAATATGTAATCATAATTATGTGTCGTGGGCGTAGAAACGTGAAATTTTAACCGATTTATAAGCATTCCACTGTTTTTTATTTTTTTTTTTTTTTTTTAATTTAATTATATTTGGAACCGCTGAAATTTTATTTTTATGTTTCCAATTGTAAGTAAAACGGTAGATTCATATTTGTGATTTAATTGTACATTTTAAGAATAATCAAAAGAATTTTTTTGCGCTCTCGAAAAAAAAATAGCGACATCAATATAATAATAATTATTATAATAATATACTATTATTATTAAATAATAGAAAAGATTGCTCGGCAATTGGGGGAAAAAAAAAAGAAAAACAAAGAAAGAAGTATTGCATTTTGTTTTTAACGATTTCATAACTTTTGCATTTCGTGATAATTACAATGAACTTCGACACTTACCAAAATTACCGTGACGGTAATTAAAAATTGGAAAAGTGTGATTATCAAATCGATTGTTTGTTCGTTTTCTTTTTTTTTTTTTTTTTTTTTTTTTAATTTTTAAATAGAGAAAAAAAATAATCAACTACTGCGTTATGTAGTTTATTTAAAGATTTTATATGTATACAGTTGTTTCATATATTGTATTTTTTTATCACAATCTTTTTAAGTTCTATCTTATTGTACCATACATTTTCTGTCACTTTTACTTATGTTTATTTTACAAGACTATAAGGACGTTAATTTATAAATACGATTTACGCTGGTCGGGGCGTTGTTAATTATTAGTTGAATACATTTTTAATTTAAAAAAAAAAAAAAAAATCAGTTTACTGTTTTTTCGATATATCGTGTGCGTTATTAAATAAATGAAAAAAAAAAGAAAAAAAAAGGCTGCAGGGCTGCAATATTAGACTCATAAGCTTAGGGCACTAGATGATAAATAAAAAAAGAAAAAAAAAACGAGCTTTATTGCATTAATCGCGCTGATAAATAATTTCCTTTCATTTTTTGATAGCATATTCTCAAAACTATTCAATGTAATTACTACATTCATTCTCTATAAACACTTATTCTGCGTACGAACTGTTTATCTATTTGATATACATATATTATATATATATTATCTCAATACGACTTGCTCATTAATAACTATTCCTTTTTTTTTTTTTTAATTAATTTGGCTGACCAAAAACCAATTATTGTCCTAGTCTTTTGAATACTTTCAAAAAGAGCAAAAACATGATAATTCAATGGAAAGAAAAAGAGAAATCAAACAATATTTTTTGATTCCATTAAAAAAAAAAAGAGAGAGAGAGATAAAAACGTACTAACACCGACGATAAAAAAAAACAACAAATTTTAATAATATTGAGATTTAAAAACCTCAAATTTGTCCATATTGTGCAAAAAAAAAAAAAATAATAATAATAACAACCATTTCTGTCCAATTAGAACAATACTAATATTATATCGCTAATCAATATATTACATGTAATATTTGTGGAGCATAACGATAAATCTTGCCTCGGGCGCAACGTTTGCTTATCGTACAAATTATATATTTGAATCATTTATGAAAAATGACGTTTTAAAGACTTAATAATTGACCTATTGATAAAAATATGAATAACAATGAGAATATGCGAGAGAAGGAAACATTGCGACTGAAGGTATCTGTCCATTTTTTTTGGTAAAACAAAAACGTCAAAAAAGAAAAAAAAAATAAATAAATTATTAAACACAATTATCATCTATCACAGTGAAGCTGCATGGCCATATGGCATTCTTTATGAATAAAAATTTAATTTCAGTCGTAGATATTGTTGTTCATTGAAAAAAAACCCTTGGTTGACCTTTTTTAATTTAAAAAAAAAAAATTTTATATCTTTTATTTTTAAACAAGTGCCATTTTAATCATTTATATTACTACCGATGGCGAACAATTTTTTTTTTAGAAAAATATAAAAAACTTTATATTAAAATAATTTATCCATTTATTATATTATAAAACTAGCAAAATTAAACGCGCGCAAGCGCGCCAAATTGAGTATTTCATTGTTTTTTATAAAGAAATTAAAGATTAATATTATCAATAATAATTTAATTTATTAGAATATTATTACATATTAAATGATAATAATGAAAATTAAATGTTTACAGGCCTCGGATTATACGACTTTTTCCGACTTTTATCGACTTCTTTTAATAAAATGCGACATTTTTTTTACATTTGAAAAAAAAATGTAAATAAAATACCTTTTTTTAGTATAAAATGTAAATCTTCTTCAGATCTTCTTCAATTCAATTATTTAACAAATTTTGAACTAAAATGATTCTTCACTAAATTAACTATTTTTAATAATTTTAATGAAATACATCACAAATTCAATTATATCAAAATTATTTTTTAATTAAAATTTTCATGAAATTTAACAATTGTTTATAATTAAAAAAAAAATATTACAATAAAATTGAATTATTTTTTAAAAATTTCAATTCAAAATAAACTAAAATTCAATTATTACCCGAAATTTTAATTCAAAATCAATTAAAAATCCAATAATTATCCAAAATTTTTAATTTAAAATTAATTGAATTTTCAATAATTTGAATTTAAAAGCGTCTAAAATTTAATTATTTCTAAAATTTTCCATCGAAATTTTTTTTGTTGAAATTTAATAATTTCAATTATAACTCTAAGGAAATTCAATTATTTTTAACTATTTTAATAATATTCTTTGAAAATTCAACTATCTGAAACCATTTTTCAATTAAAAATGATTTTCAAATTATTGTATTTTGTCCGCATTTTCTAATAAATTTTTAGTGAAATCATCTAAAATTTTAATTAAAAATCACTTAATGTTTCAATTAATTAAGAAAATCTCAATTTTAAATCTTTGAAAATTCAATTAAATTTAAAAAATGTTTTCCAAAAATTGTTTGATAAATTATTTTTAGTTCTGTAAAATTTAATAATTGTTTGAAAATTAACAATATCTTTTGAAATTTAATTATTTCCAAAAATTTCAACTTTAACCCTTCGAAAAGGATTATTATTAAAAAAAAAAATTATTTAAAAATCTGTAAAATATTTTGATAAAAAACAAGTCCACTTTTTTTTGGAATATAAATCGACTAAAACGACTTTTTTGTGTCTTTAAGTTGATTCGAGGCCTGTGTTTTTATAATTAATATTTAATAGGTATTCATTGGCCCCTGGTACCTTAAAAATTAATTTTTTTCAAATTACTATCTTGTACGAAATTTCCTGGCGCATCTTTTTCCTCATCATAAATTTTTTGTATATTTGTATACAATTTTTGAATCTATATACAACTTTAAAAAAAATTTCGTTGGTAAACGTTGTGTACTTCAGCTTCGTGAATTGAATTTTCGAATTTGGAATTTTAAAGAAACTTATTCCGAAATTTGGAAACACAATTATACAACTTTGGCAAAAATGAGAAAAAGAATTGTCAAAATTTGATAAGTCATAAGATTACTATTCAAAAAAACACGTGAAATCAGAAAAGGCCAACTTCAAGTTAGGACAGAAGGACAGACCAAGCATTTTATTATTATATAATTTAAGGAATTATATTGACTTTGAAGAAAGAAATTTTTAAGAAAAAACAACAAAATATAAATAGAATAAAATTAGGAGAGAAATAAAAGAAAATACATTAACACAGTGTTTCTTGTATAAAAAATTTATTTGTGATAAAGAAAAAAAAAGTCTGGAAAAATATGACTAACAAAAAAAAAAAAAAATTCTTTTTTTAATTCTATAACGAGTTATTAAGGAACATAATTTTTTATATATATAACCATTAAAAAAATATTTTTAAAAAAACATTAGATTCATACATTACATTCAATTATTTGTATAACATACTGTATTTTTGTTACTCTTCATGTTGGTGTCGGTTCGGTTGTACGATTTTCAACAATCCACGGATGATTAAGAATTCCATCTAAACTCAGTCGACGATCGGGATCAACTACTAATAGCTAGAAAAAAAAATTATAGCAGAATATTTTTAATTTTTAAATTATTCACAAAATTTAATTCAATTGTAAAGATTTATAAGTTTAAAAATTTTAATTTTAAAATTATAATACTGATAATAATAATAATAATAATAATAATAATAATAACAATAAAGTTTTAGAAATACTTGTTTTTAGAATTCGATTTTTAAATTATTATTTTTTTTTTTTTTTTTTTTAACAAACAAATTGACAATATATATAAAATTAAAATTTGTTTCTTTAGAAAGAAACAACAAATAATTTTTAATGTACTTAATGTAATTTAATTTACTCTGTAGTAAATTTTCAATTCTAAAGTCTAATTCTGATTTTTAATTCTGAATTTGCAAAAAAAAAGTATAGTTCCATTTTTGGCTAAAAAAAAAGTCGAGAATAGTAAAAAAAAAAAGTTTTTATAAATATAAAAAAGAAAATTCCAAAATTTCGTTACTTCTAAAAGTGTTGACTTATTCAAATAATAAATGAAGAAAAAAACAATTTACCTTTTTAATTAAATCTTGCGCTCCTTCACTGACATATGAGGGACAATTATATCGTGCTTTTGTGATTTTTACATAAGTATCTTCGTATGTTTTTGCTAAAAATGGAGGCTCTCCAACTAAGCACTCATAGCACAAAACACCAATACCCCATAAATCAACAGTGTGATTGTGCGTTAATCCTTTAACCATTTCTGGTGGTAAATAATCTAAAGTTCCACACAATGTTGTTCTTCGCGATGAGGGAGCATGAACGGACCAACCAAAATCAGCTATTTTCAATTCACCATGAAGACCAAGTAATAAATTTTCCGGCTTTATATCGCGATGTATAACTTTTCGTTTATGACAATATTTCAAAGCGTCGGCCAATTGTGTTATATAAGTAGCTGTTCTGTAAAAAGATAATCAATTTTTAATAATTCTTTCTTTCTTTTTCAGTAAAAAATCAATTAAATAAATCACATATGAGAATTAATGAAAAATATTAATTTTTAGGGTCATTCCACTGACTTTCGAAAGTGGTTGCGACGAAATTTTTAAGAAAAATCTAGTTTTAATATATATGTGAAACTCGATGATTCCCTGAGTTCATTAAACAATAATATTATGGTAAAAATTTTATTCCCTTTAAAAAAAATATTAATTATCAAAAGTAGGAGGTTCACGATGTGATTTCGTAACCTTAAATTTTTCAATTTTTTTTTTAAGAATGATATTATTAAAAAAAAACTATTAAAAATTAAATGTTAGAACTTATCAAAAACATAAATCACTTTATTCTGCACATAGAAACGAAAGAATTATTACAAAAATTTATTATTTTTAGATAATATATGATTTTGAAAAAAATTTTCTTTAAAGAATTTCACAAATTTTTTTTTTACTTATAACTGTCGGTGCTCCGAAAAAATTGAGGTTTTGCACATAGATTTTTAATAATATTCTTTACCTTCTATTAAAATTTCACGAAGGTGTTTTGCTTCGTTTTGTAGATATTATATTTTTTAATTTTTTACTTAAAAAGGTTAATTAAAATGCTTAAAGTTAATTGACCAAATTCAAATCGCTACATTTTAATATATTTTTATAAAAAATGGAGCAGTTTGAATTTGGTTAGTTAACTTCAAGTTTTTTAATTAAGCTTTTTAAATAAAAAAATTTTGAAAATTAATATTTCCAAAACGAAGCAAAACACCTTCGTGAAATTTTAATAGAAGGTAAAGAATATTATAAAAAATCTTTGTGCAAAACCTCAATTTTTTCGGAGCACCGACAAAAAAGTTATAAGTAAATAAAAATCTTGAGAATATTTAAATAAAATTTTTTTTAAAATCGTATATCATCCAAAAATAATAAATTTTTGCAATAATTCTTTCGTTCCTGTGTGCAGAATAAAGTGATTTATGTTTTTAGTCACATCGTGAACCTCCTACTTTTGATAATTAATATTTTTAAATCGAATTTGTTAACTTAATATAATAGAAGATTAAGGGTCAGTTTCACCAAATCCGTTTAAAAGTTAATCAGCAATTAAAGCCAATTTAACCGCTTATAATTGGTTGTTTTGGAATTTAATCGGTGATTAACTTTTAACCGGAGTTGGTGAAAATGGCCCTAATAGTAAATTAATTTAATTAATATTAATAAGTATTTTTCTTTTAAATTAACTTACCTAACTTCATTAAATCTTTTATTCTCTTGACTATTTAATTCTTTGTACAATTCTCCTTTTGGTGCATATTCTAAAATGAGATAAATCCGCTTATCGTCATGGAAATAACCATACATTCGAAGAATATTACGATGTCTGAAAGTAAAAAAAAAAGAAGTTAAAATTAAATATTTTTTAAAAATAAAGGTAATCATTTTCTAAACTAGAAACTAATTTTCGAAAATTTCAATTTTATTGAAAATTTTTAATTCCGTCAAACAGGGTAATTATATCAATTCAGAATCTGTTATACCAATCGATCGTTTTTAATGAATAAAAATTTTTAATTATTAAAATATATAAATATTCCGCTTGGTGTAAATATTTTTTGATAGACTACAAAGGGAACAAAATGTAATTATTTAATTATTTGTCAGAAAGCAGAAAAAAAAATTCGTAAAGTCGTGAAAGTGAGAACAAAATTTTTTTTTAAGTTTCAAAGGACTATTTACATTTAAATTATTATTTAAATCCAAAAAAATTGAACTTCTCTTACAATTTTAATTATTTTTCACTGACAAAATCAAAGCATTTCTATTTTGATAATTTTAGTTAAAAATTTGTATATATAAGTTCTGATATATCCTAAAAAAAATAGTTCTCTATTCAAACTTTAATAAGGAATTATTGACTTTTTAAAAATCATCAAAAATTTTTAAAAAACATTAATTGTTAAATAGTATTAATTTTTAATACGAAAAAATGTTATTTTCTTTGATAAAAATATAAATATTTTCTTATGCTTTTATTATTAAATTTATCGTTTAAGTATTCATTAAAAAACAAATACAAAAATGAACTTTTGAAAAATTTTTTCTTGCACGGAAAAAATGCAAAAAAAAATTTTGAATTCACTTTTTAAAAAAACTACCTCTTCGATTTCAAAAATTTTTTTCTCTACTTATTGCCTATGATGTTAAGAATAACTTCTCTAATTTTCATAATGGAACAGCAAGAACTTTGCGAGAAAAAAAATTAAAACGTCCCGTGCGGCGCGGCGGGACGCGCGCATCTTAGTTTTCACGTCCATTATATAGTATGGAAACTTGCAAATATCTCGAAAAGTACGAATTTTCGTAAAAAATGTTCAAGACAAAAGTTGTTCCAAACAAAAAGATCTACATCATTGAAACCAAAAAATTGGGTCCGAGGCCCAATGTTGGGCCATACAATGAAAAAAGTGGTTTTTTTAAATAAGAGCACTAATTTTCAGTATCAAATTCGTAATCCCTATGCAATTCTGCGTTCAGACATATTGTATTATATTATGAAAATTAGAGAAGTTATTCTTAACATCATAGGCAATAAGTAGAAAAAAAAATTTTTGAAATCGAAGAGGTAGTTTTTTCAAAAAATGATTTCAAAATTTTTTTTTTGCATTTTTTCCGGGCAAAAAAATTTTTTTTTTTCATGAGGGTCAGTCCACTGACTTTCGTCTAATAGTTGTTGCGACCAAATTTTAAAAAAATCTAGTTTTAATATATGTGAAACTCGATGATTCCCTGAGTTCATTAACCATAATATTATGGTAAAAATTTTATTCCCTTTAAAAATATTAAATATCAAAAGTAGGAGGTTCACAATGTGATTTTGTAACCTTAAATTTTTCAATTTTTTTAAAAACGCTATTATTAAAAAACTATTAAAAATTAGATGTTGGAACTCACCAAAAACATAAATCACTTTATTCTGCACAGAGGAGCAAAAGAATTATTGCAAAAATTTATTATTTTTGGATGATATACGATTTTTAAAAAAATTTTATTTAAATATTCTCAAGATTTTTATTTACTTATAACTTTTTTGTCGGTGCTCCGAAAAAATTGAGGTTTTGCACAAAGATTTTTTATAATATTCTTTACCATCTATTAAAATCTTACGAAGGTGTTTTGCTTAGTTTTGGAGATATTAATTTTCAAAATTTATTATTTAAAAAGGTTAATTAAAGGACTTGAAGTTAACTAAGTAAATTCAAACTGCTCCATTTTTTATAAAAATATATTAAAATGTAGCGATTTCAAATTGATCAGTTAACTTCAAGTCCTTTAATTAACCTTTTTAAATAAAAAATTTTGAAAATTAATATCTCCAAAACGAAGCAAAACACCTTCGTAAGATTTTAATAGAAGGTAAAGAATATTATAAAAAATCTTTGTGCAAAACCTCAATTTTTTCGGAGCACCGACAAAAAAGTTATAAGTAAATAAAAATCTTGAGAATATTTAAATAAAATTTTTTTAAAAATCGTATATCATCCAAAAATAATAAATTTTTGCAATAATTCTTTCGTTCCAACATGTAATTTTTAATAGTTTTTTAATAATAGCGTTTTTAAAAAAATTGAAAAATTTAAGGTTACAAAATCACATTGTGAACCTCCTACTTTTGATATTTAATATTTTTAAAGGGAATAAAATTTTTACCATAATATTATGGTTAATGAACTCAGGGAATCATCGAGTTTCACATCCTATATTAAAACTAGATTTTTTAAAATTTGGTCGCAACCACTATTAGACGAAAGTCAGTGGACTGACCCTCTTAAAATATCATCTTTTTGTGAGAAATTTGAAAAAAAAATTGATCTCATTTGGATAACAAGAAAAAAAGTTACATGTTTTTTTTTTTAAATGACATAAATTTTTAATTAGAGATATCTCAAAAAATTTTGAAAATTTTGAAAAATTATTTGTGGACTTTCATTTTGTACAAATAAAGGAACATATTCACAAGGTTTCAATAAAATTGCTCCACTCATAAAAAATTCTTGTGATCAGATATTATGAAATTGCTCTAAATTGTATATGACATAAATGTTTTTTTTTTTTTTTTCTTTTAATTTTTCGTATATTTTAGAAAAAATATTTTTATTAAATAGATAAATTGAAAATAATTAAAAACTCTCTCACCTTAGATGTGTTTGAATTTCAATTTCACGTCGCACTTGATGTTCAACGCCAGCTTTCATTACTTGATCCTTAAAAAGTACCTTCATTGCAACAATAAATGATGTATCTTTATGTCTAGCTAAATAAACATTTCCAAATTTTCCTTTACCTAATGGTTTACCAATATCAAAATCAGTTAACATCCATTTTTTTGAACTCTCTTTCATTTTATCAGTACTTTCTTTTTCACTAATTTTATTTTTCTGTTCACTTGATTCTGTCAATTTTGGTGCAGATTGCAATTTTGGAGGTGGCATTAATTCTGGCGTTGTTACTTTAGATTTATTTTCATTATTATGTAATGTATGATTATTTTTAATTGAATTTTTTAATATATTATCATTATTTGTCTCCGATGTATTTTTGATCATTTCTTTTTCATTTACAGGATTTTTTCCCTTTAATGATTTTCCCTTATCATGAGCACTATAATTTCCTACATGAATGGCATTTTCCTTTCCTTTCAACATTTCCGATATTAACTGTATTAAAAAAAAAAAAAATAACAATATTAAAAAAAAAATTCTAAAAATATTTTTCGAATAATAAAGAAATAGATTTAAGAATATAAATTTTACAAACTTTCGACAATAATTGTAAAGGATCACTAAAGGTTAAATTAAAAGACTAGAAAATAAATCATTTCTATAGACTGACAGAAACAATTTTTAATGAATACAATTTTTTTTTAAATTTGATTTTCAATTCTTTTCTCTTTAAAAAATAATTGAAATACACTTTAAACATTTATTTACAATCATTTAAAGTGACAACATACCTATATGCAGACAGTTGAGTGTAAATTTAACAAGAATTTTACAACACTGACAATTTAACCGAGACAATGATTGAATTAAAAGAAAATTTACGCGTTAACAATAATTTTAACTTGTTTAATTGTATAAAAAAAAGTCACATATAATTGTTAAATTACTGTTTTTTTATTACAAAATGAGCGTTTCATTTGAAACTTTGTTTAACGGTTTTGAGGGCATTTAAATCGACAAAACTGAGAACAAGGATGGGAAGGTAAAAAATAGTGATTTTTTTCATCTTCTCGGAACCAGTTGATTGGCTGGTTATATTTTCCCCGTGAAAATTAGGCTGCAGTCCCATGGCAGCGTTTTGCGTTGCGTTTTGTCACTAGACCCTGAGTGTAAACATAGCAAACATATATCTGCATCTCTTTTACACTCATGGTCTAGTGACAAAACGCAACGCAAAACGCTGTCATGCGACTGCAGCCTTACCGTCCAATCACTTGCGCCATTCTCAGCAATGTGAAACAAGCTTAAACTAAATGGGAATTCATCTTTTCATAATTCGCGGGGTTTCTACTGTAAAAAAAAAAAAAATTCGCAATTTTTACACATGTGAATTAGACCTTAATGAATATATTTTAACCGTGCAAAAGAGACAAAAAGAGAGCTTGTCTTTTTGGGCTCCCAGTATTATATTTCAATGTTTTAAAAGCTAGTATGTACACTTCATTAAACTCCAATATCGAAAAGATTTAGAAAAAAATAAAGAACTTATTTAATTTTTGAATTCGGTAAAAATTATACATTTATGAAGTTTTTTTTAGAAATAAATTAAAAATTAGTATTTTTCATATGGATCCCACGATTGGTTGGCATCAACCAGAACAATTCGGTCCTGCAAAAGATTTGTGGTTACATATTTGGGAAGCTGAAAAGGGCTTAGATATATTAACATCTAAGCTCGACATTTCGTGTGCAATGGGTAATAAAATTCAACAAGACAACTCATTGACCGACAACTATAATCGTCTTAGTGAAGATAGAATTAATCGTCTCCCACACAATAGTTGTAATAACTATTACAATCCTTCTAGAAGGAAAAACGATAATCGTGCTAGTACTTACGGAATGAACTATAATTATAATGCTTTAGTTGGTGCATATGGTGGATGTCCCTGGCGAATTCCAAACAAACATTATTCCAAAGGTGTTATAGGGTGAGCTAATTATTGACAAATATTTTATTTGCTTATTAATAATTTCGCTATTAAGTATATTAAAAAAAAAAAAAAAAAAAAATGTCGCATATAGGTTATGTCATTCACGTGTTCTTCGTTTTGGCATAAGATTTTGATTTTACCGATCTTTAAAAAAGTCACATTTAATAATAAAAACAAATATTTTATTTTCATAATGAAATATATTTAAATTACAACTATAATCATGTATTTAATCAATATAAGGAAAATAGTATATTAGTCATCGATAAAATTAATTACATATTCTCATTTATTTGCAAAATATGTTAGTGTATAGTTAAAATAGATAATTACTTTTTTTTTTTTTTTTTTTTGAAAAATTTTACCACAAGTGTCAATTGATAAATGTATCATTATATAGAAGTTTTATATATTTATAAAGTAGAAAAAATTTTTTTCGAAAATATATAAACATAGAAAATAATTAAAAATAGTTATTAAATATATGCTTCTGATATGAAAACCCATTAGTTTTAGTTTCTTTAATGCTTAGGAAATATTTTAAAAATCTTATGTCTTATTTGACCTTTCAACAAAAGAAGTAAACAATAATAATTATAAACCAATTTAACTATATTGTTAAAATAATCAATATTTTTCTTGATATTTTTTCACAAGACAATTTTTATAATAAAATCAATTTTTAAAAAAAATGTTAATAAATAATTCATGAAATATTTAAAAACAAAAAAAAATTATATTAAATTTTGTCATTTTTAAAAAAATAATTAAAGGTTTGTTTTAATTTTTATTATCAATCAATTATTGTTTACATAATTTTTAAACATTTTTATTATTGATTATTTAGAATATTATTTAGAAATTTAATTTTAAATAAATTTATATTAATTAAATTAAAAAAAACCCCAAATATAATATTAAGAGTTTATTTTAATTAGATTTAATTTAATATATAATATAATTTTAATAAATTAAATAAATAAATTTAAAAAAAAAATTTTAATAAAAATTATATTATTTCTTTAATTTATTTAAAAAAAAAAAATTATTTAAACATAAAATGTAAATTTATTTTCAAATCTTATTGAATGATAATTTTTTACCGATTCCAACAGACTTCATGAAGAAATTGAAGATTTCTTTGCATATATGTGTCCGTCTACAGAAGAACATAATTTACGACTGCGTGTAGTTAAAAGAATAGAACAAATTATTAATGAATTGTGGCCCGATTCCAAAGTAGAAGTATTTGGAAGTTTTAGAACTGGATTATACTTGCCAACAAGGTAAAAAAAAATTTTAATTTTTAATTTTTTTTTACAGAAAATTTATGTATCTAATTTAAAATATGTATAAAATTAAAATTAAATTAATTTACTTGCAAGAATTTTTTTTCATAAATTAAAACAAATCAAATGGATTTAAAAAAAAATTTCAAGTTTTTGTTTAAAGAGAAATGAAAATAAGCGAAAATAATCGGACAAATAATTTTAATTAGTTTACTACAACGTTTCGAAATCTTAATGATTTCCTGCTGAGGGATTCTTTTTTTATTATTTATTTACTTTATTTCTTTATTTTATTTTTTTAATAATTTAGTATTTTATTTATTTTTAGTATATTATTATAAGCCAAAAGTTCTAAACGTTTAAATGAACGAATAATTTTTTTGAATCTATAAATTATTAAAAATTATGATGTCAATTTAAAATAAAACAGTAAATTAAACAATTAATAAATTAATAACTTCTTTTTACATATTTAAAACAATATTTTGTAATAATATTCTTACTTAAAATAGTTGCAAAAAAAATTTCGTTCATTTGAACGTTTAAAACTTTTGGCTCATATTTTTTTAGTATTATTTACTTTATTATTATTTTATTATTTTCTTTATTTATTATTTTAACATTTTATTATTTATTCTATTATTATAGTTTATTGTTCTTTTTATTATTAAATTTTAATAATTTTAATTAAATTTTTTATTAATTTTATTTGGTATTTTATCCCTATGTTTAATTTATTAAATTTTTTTCTTATCATTAACATTTTTTACTATAATTCCGATCAGTTTATTTTGTTTTTATTATCATTCCATTTATTTTTATTATTTTTGGTTAATGTCTATGTTTTAGTTTTAGCTTTTTTTTTAAGATAAAGATAAAATTTATGTTTTTTGTAAACTTTTTAAGTTTTACAATATATCATTCCTCGTTCATTTCCTCTTATTTATAACAATTAAATTGTTTATATTATAAAGTCTTTGACGTTTCTTTAAACAAATTTATTTTCTATTTTCGGAAATTAATTTTTAAATATTAGTTTACCAATTTTTAATTTACTTTACCAACCGTATAATTTTGTCATAATTATTTTAATAAACAAAAATAATTATTAGTATTTTTTTCTTTTTATTAATATTTTTCTCTTTTCTTTTTATTATTATTGTTTCTTTTTTTTTCACTTTCTCATTGTAGTGCACATATATACACGAAAGGACATTTTTCATTCTTAGTTCGTGCATTGTTAAAATAAATAAAATCCAATCCGAGGCTATTATGGTACGAAAATCGAAATTTTTTTTGTTCTATGCTTAAATAAAAATTCTAAACTTTATAGAAAAAATGTTAGGGTTATTGTGGTACAAATTTTGTTTTTTGTTCATAAAATAAAGTAAGAATTTTTTTCTTCTAAACTGTATAGAAACTTTTAAGTATTCTGTAAATAATTTTTAAACAGTAAAAAAATTATTATTATTATAACTAGGTGTCTACTAACAGGAAAAACCGGGAATTTTACGTCAAAACGGGATTTTTCTTACTTACGTTTGAATCAAGTTTTATTATTTTAATAATATATTAGTTTGTCTTGAAAAAATTACTTTTTTCACCAATAAATAACGAGAAACAATTTCAGAAATACTGAGTAAGTTAACACCAAGTGCACAAATTTTCCTTATGGATATGAAAGCTAGAAACATAAGGAATATTTTGAACTTTAGATCATTTTGTTTCGAAGTCTAACATTAAAGGGTTATACTTAATCAAGAAGGAAAAAAAGTCATTTTTTGAAAATTTTTTTTTTTTTCAAAGTAAGTTGTTAATTTATTAAAATGGAATTTTTTTTGCATCGAATTATGTAACATTTAAAGTAAAAGTAAATAATATAAACTTAAAAAAACAATTATTTTCATAAAATATAGTCAATTTTTCGTAGATATTTGTAGATTTATTCAATGCATACAAGAAAAAGATTTAAATTTGAAAAGTAAAAATAAATTTGGAAAAATTAGGAAATAATCGGGAATTTTGTTGAACGAAATTAGTAGACACCCTGTTAAACTATTAGCACTAAATCGCTGTTGGTTCTCATTTATCTTCCTTTTTTTTAAATTTAATTTTTCTTACAATTAGTAATTATTTGTTTTCATATTTTTCATATATTTTTAATAGACACCCCCGAAGAGGAAATGATTTAAATTTCGAAACGTTGGAGTATAAATTAAGTAAAACTTTGTCCGAATATTTTCATTTAATATTTCTCATACGTAAAAGATTAAATAGAAACTTTGTATTTATTAATTTTCATAAAAAAAAAAAAAAATAGAAAGAAAGAAGATCGAATTTTTTTTTGTTTTTTGATTTTAGTGATATCGATCTGGTCGTAATTGGAAATTGGTCTAATTTACCACTTAGAACGTTAGAACGTGCTTTATTAGATCAAAATATTGCTGAACCCTCGTCTATTAAAGTATTAGATAAGGCTAGCGTACCTATTGTTAAACTTACCGATAAAGAAACTGAAATTAAAGTTGACATTAGTTTTAATATGAATAGTGGTGTAAAATCAGCAGAATTGATCAAGTCATTTAAACGACGATTTCCAGTTTTGGATAAATTAGTCATGGTACTCAAACAGTTTTTACTGCAACGTGACCTTAATGAAGTTTTTACTGGCGGTATTTCATCTTATAGTTTAATTCTTATGACTATAAGTTTTTTGCAGGTAAGATTTTTTATTTTTTTATTTCTT